GGAGTTGCCCATAGTGCCAATGTACTGGAGTACCAAGTTGACATCCCAAGTTTTTCCATAACGAGGAAGAGGGGGCCTACTTTGGAAGACGCCCTTCATGAACCTCTTGACATCAGGGTGCCCACCAAAGGTATGGTGAACTGAGTCAGGACTGTCTAAAATAGCAGACAGGGCACATCTTGCAGAGTTTATACTGCTGTAGCTCAATCCTTCATCATAAAGGGTTGTCAAAAATTCCACAGCCAAACCTATAGTAGGGCAAATAGGATCTGCTTGCCTTTTAGTGCAGAAGAAAAGCCATTTCCTGATGTGGGCATCATACTGTTTCTGTGATGACTGGCGCCAGGATTGCAAGACAATGTTGGTTGCTCTTTCAGAAAAGCCTCTGTTTTTGTAGAGTCTCCGCATAAATGACATGCTAACAAATTCATCTTTTTCCTCAGTGGGTGAAGTTTTTGGCACCCTGGTAGTGTTAGGAGTGTTGCCCTGGGTGTGATGATCAGTGGAGAAGCCACAAGTAGTCGCATCAGTTTGGGATGCCAGCTTTGGCATGTCCAGAAGGGCACAACCAGTATTCCCTCTGCTTTGTTTGCTTGAATTTTTTCCAGACATTTCCCAATCAGACTAAATAGAGGGAAAGCATAAAAGAAGAACGTATTCCAATTGGCAGAGAATGCATCAACAAACAGTGCATCTGGATCAGGCCTCCAAGAGGCATAAAATGTACACTGTTTATTTGAGTGAGATGCAAACAAATCAATGCTTGGCTGACCAAGTCGCTTGGTTATTGACTGGTATATTTTTTACTCTAACTTCCATTCAGTATGGTCATTTAAGTGCCTAGATTCTCTATCTGCCTCAGTGTTTTCACAACCTGGCAGATGTGAGGCACTTAACCAGATGTTATGTTCAACACAATAATCCCATATGTGTTTTGTGATTGAGTTGCAGTCGGGGGACTTTGAGCCACCCATATTGTTGACATAACAAACTGCGGTGGTATTATCACATTGAACCCAAATATGCAAATTAGCACATTCTCTACATAAAGCCTTTAACGTTAAGAGTACAGCCAATAATTCTAGATAGTTAATGTGATGGGGTGCTTCCTGTTGGTCCCACCTCTCCCCTGTTCTCTGGTTTCCCCTCGCACCTCCCCAGCCATGGGTAGAGGCATCAGTTTGAATGAGGAGTTCTGATTCACCATGAGAAATAAGTTTGTTTGAGGTGTCCACATTAGTTATCCACCAATTAAGTTCTGCCCTAGAACTGGGGGAGAGGGTCATTGAAGACCCAAAGTTGCCTTTGTTTTCTCTCAGGGCATGAGATTTATCTCTTTGAAGACTGCGATAGTGTAAAGGGCCAAGTTCTAACCCTGGCAAACTTGACACTAGCGGCCCAATGACCTCTGCCACTTGTCGGACTGTGCAGTTCTCTTTGTTAACTAGGCTGAGACAGGCATTTTTCAGTTTCTCCTTTCGGCTGTCAGTAAGCTGCACAGTCATCATGATTGAGTTAAGTACAAATCCCAGGCATGTCAAGACCTGAGATGGTACAAGCACTGATTTTTCTTCATGAATAGGAAACCCAAGTTCCCTGAGCAACATAACAGTTTCTAGTACATTTTCTATTGTAAGGCCGTACATTTTCGTAACATTCCCCGTATGAGGCTCCTTGAAGGTAGCAATCATCTATGTACGAGGAAGACAAATAACCTTTTTGCCTGAGTACATTAAACACTGGTTTTAACAGTTTAGTAAAAATTCTAGGGGCGGATGCCAACCCATTTGGTAGGCAGGTATATTGATACAATTTGTCCCGCCACATGAATTTCAAGTATTTTTGATGTTCTATGGCAATTGGCACTGTATAGTATGCATCTCTTATATCAACAGATGCCATAAAACATCCTTGGGTCATTAGATCTGTCACTGTCTTGAGTGAGTCCACTCTGAAGTGCCGGTAAACAATGAACTGGTTTAACTCCTTTAAATTTAGGATCATCCTGTAGTCCACTCCATTCTTTTTGAGTCGAAGGAAAATGGATGATACAAAATCTCCCTGAGAGAGAGGAGACTCCACAATTACACCTTTATTAAGGAGTTTAACAATTTCAGAATCTATAATAGCAGGTTCGGTATCATTGAATTTAATGACCTTATAACCCAGTTCCTGTACTGGGGATACATCATCTATGAACTCTAAATGGCAGTGCTCAACCCAATCTAAGACTTCTGGGTCGTCAGTTATATCTCTCCATGCTGGGACAAATTGTTGCAGTCTACCAGCTCGCAAATAACTTGTGCTATAGCTTACCTCATTTAAGGGGTTTTCTGGCCCTATTTGTTTGGTCTCCTCCCCTCGTCCTTTTTGTTGTATGGGGGTCGGGCCTTTTCCAGTTTAAATGTTTATTGAACTGAGTGCCTGGATCACGCGAGGAGTACTTGTAGCCAAATCCTTTGGACTTTGCGTGTTTGTAACCTCTGTATCCATTGCTTTTGTGGCCTTCCACTTTGGGGTTAAGCTTTTTGCTGACCTTGGTCGCTTCCGCGAGGTCTTTCAGTTGTTTAGATAAATCGGAATCATTGCCAAACAAGAAGTCTGTGAATGGGACAGAGCTGGAGCACAAATTCTTGTAGTCTTCGTTTAGCTCGGGCTTGATGTTCTCCCGGCGCCGTATGTTTAACTCGAAATTAGCGGCACCTATCAGAGAAATGGCATCAGTGGCCGCTCTTATTAAATCAGGGGCATCCAAGGCATCTTTGGAAATTTTATCCTGTGCCTGCACAAATTTCTCAGCCATAGAAACTACTGGAATGAGCCCTTTGGCAAGGTTGGATTGCACTCGTTGCAAATTGATATCAGCAGACCTCGTGTCTGGTTGACATTCGTGCTGGTGAGACATTCACAGTTTTCTGGCGTATTATAGCGATTCTGTGTCGCTGTCAAAACTTCGTCCGTAAGCTTTTCTCTCATTAAGCCATAGACAATTTTGGCGATCTCCTCATTTATAGCAGGAGCCTTCCATTGATCAAGTTTGAGATTGTTCGCAATGCCTGACAGTAGGTCAATTTCCCCATCTGGAACATCACGCTGAGATTCAGAGCTGTGATTTATCAGAGTGTTAATGCTCTGCTCAGTTGTTTGAGAACTTATAGGCTTTTTTTAGCCCCACTATTTAACACTGCGGACCCAGATTGGTCCATGTAGGCGGCTATTTCTAGCTGTTCTTCAGTTTCAGCATTTTCTTCTAAAGAACCTTCCTCGATTGCGAGGTGGTCAATGGTGTCCTTCATCTGACCGAGGGATTCAGTCATGGTAAACTTCAGTGAAGTGATGGAAGAAACTAGCAGCTCGCTCATGGAACTGATGGCCGCGACGATGGCCGACTCGCTGTTGCTTGGCGCAGCGCCATTTTCAGCAAGTTGAGATTCTGTCATTTTCGGCTCTATTGACGATTTGTTTTGCTTCCATGACCTTTCCGAACACGCTTCTAATGTACCTCACGACCAAGTTGAGAAAATTTCTTGAATTAACTGTTGTTACACAGCGCCTTTCCAGATATTTCTTATAGTTATTTTGAGCTGACCGACTCGAGCAAAGGCGGGAAGTGCACTGACCACTTGAGCGGCTGGTGCTTTCTCACGTTACCTCGTAGTGCGTAAGATGACGAGGGAGAATAATAGATTTAGCACTACGTTTGCGTGAAAAGTGAACGGCAAGAGTGAGCACATAACCTTGTTTTTCCCGCCATTTTTTTCACGTTTGCCGGTTGCGCATAGCCGTTTCTACTTAAAAGTAGCCTGTTTATCGCGTTTGCCGTGTACGTAAGATTTTCTTCACTTCTTCTCACGGTGTTAAAGTTAATTGCCGGAAAAAGGGCATCAAAACTTTTCCTTGTAGGTCACGCAAGGGCGCTTTCAAATCCACCATGACGTCAACTCACGGGAAGCTTAAGCAGCAAGGTTCACGCTATTTTACGTGAAACGTGATAGAGCAAGCTGACGTTTGCTGTTTCACGTAAACGCGGTGCTAAATCTTTTTAAATATTAGTTAGTGTAAATCTCAATCCTGTACTTGCGCTTTGGATCGCCTTTCGAACAACAACCGACCGACCTAATTCTAAACGATAGGACAATGTTTGAATCTTAAATCCGCCGTTTGCTTATCTACAGAATGACTGCCGGCGATTCAGGATCAAATTTAACAAAAGCACCGATCGATCAGCGATCGAAAACTGCCATCATTTTGTTTCCGAGATTTCGCCTCAGATTCCCGTGAGAGAGCTGCCAGTGTCTACCGAGTCTGACTCGCAGGTTCCAATGGAAGACTCTCAGCCTATTTCACTCGATTCCCAGCCCACCAACAGAGGAACCACCGATGGGGCGAGCTGTGGATCTGCTACCGTTGGTCTCACACTTCCTGCGTTAGCAAGCAAGGTGCGCACGGGACAGTATCAATTGGATATCGCATGCACAAGATTGTACATCCTAATGACACCTCTACTGAAAGAACAAATCGCATGAGTTTTCAAATTTCAAGAGCTTTTATTAAATAGCTATGGGAAATTTGAAAAACTTTTCAACCTGTCTTTGATAGGGATAAATCACTTCACTGTCGGTCCATTTGGCCGGATAACAAAAACTTTAGATCGAGATGGAACGTCGGTGGAATTGACAAAAAAGTTAAGCTCGCTACATAGCTGGTGGTGCTGAGCTCAGTGAAAACTAGCGCTCGCTTTTTGATAAAAACAAAGTGATGCATTAACAAGGAACATAATGCTTTAGCCTTCCACTCACAAATGAAATCGTGCCATCCTGTGCATAAGCTAGGTAATTTAAGGCGAAGGAGTGGGACTTCAAGTCTTATCTAGTTATTTCTTGGTACAGATCACATCGGTAGAATCTCGTTTGGATGCAGTACATAGCGGCAGTCACCTTGATATACCACAAGACCAATTGAGCTTGATGATAAGACTCTGTTTGACCGACAGTAACTTCCCTGATTTCGTGGAGGCCGTGGAAAAAGAGCTCAAGAATCTGACCTCATCAGAATGAAGGAGAACCGATTGTTACATATACACGCGTAAGGGTGCTCGATTTGATGTTGAGATGGTTAGAAGTGTTGCATAAGCGCTTAATAGTCTCATGGGTGTTTAAGTAGCATAGACGGGGAACGTTTTCACAGTCCTCGACGTTCTTGTCTACACTGTTTTCTTAGCCGTCACATGACATATCACATTTATTTCAATGAACGTCATGCCCAGTGCGAATGAACTTTCCTTTTTCAAACACGTTTGGGTCTCGCTTACGGCCTTATTAACGGAAGAGCGAGGAATTAGCAAAGAAAACTTACTTTTTTTCTTATTCAGGTCCTTTTTGCTCCAAACAAAGACAACATTCGCAATTCATTCTTTGAAAGTTTTAGTTTTTCCTAAACTCAAACATTACCATTTTCGATTTTTCGTTTAGTCAATACGGAAACAAAATAAGGATCAAAAGCAAGGCCAACCAGATCAAAACTAAAATAATTTATTTTTCACTTAAAATTAATGATTAGTGATAAATTATTATTGATATATGATACGAAGCGCCTTACAATTTTATCAGTTTTTCACTTCCAACTTTCTGAAATTTCCTATTTACATAATTGGGATCTAAACAGAGCTTACAAAACCTAAAAAAAATGCGCAACATCCCACAGCAAAAGTCTTTTCTCAACACTGACAACTGTGGCATAAGAAATCAATGCATATAATCTTATAGAGACCGTGTTAAGTTTTAACCCGATTACGAGTGCCTAAGTACACGCAGATAGCCTAGTCTGTAACCTAGAAAGCTAGTTTTACAGCGTCTCATTTAAACATTAGAAGATCTAAGATGTAGTTAAACGGGGTTAAGCTTATGGACTCCCTATAAGAAAAAAACGGACCTACATTTTTAAGGTGCATTTTTCGATGACTACAGAGCATTACAATTTAACTTTTCAATTCGATTATTGATGATGCGATGATTGCCAAGAAGGAATCAGGCCGAGTCATGAGTTTCTGAAACTTTTCGGCATTTCTTCCATCAGCTCGAAATGTCTTTTTTTCCTCTTCTTCTTCTTCTTCTTCTTCTTCTTCTTCTTCTTCTTCTTCTTCTTCTTCTTCTTCTTCTTTATAAAAAAGGGTTACTTTGAAACTGAATGAAACCGACCATGCTAGATCAAAAACAAAAGAATCTTCTCCTCGAATGCGAGTCTCCACCATAATGCCTCTATGCCCTTGACAACTCATGTCTTTATAAGTTCTGCATTGCTCGTCTTGACTTGGAATCCAGACTTATGACACTTGGTCCGTTAAGTCTTTCTACAATGTATGGTGGTGGGGGGCCGTTATAACCGATGGATTTCTTTATAGACTGCGTTTCAAGTGACGGAATTCTGCTCCGGCGAGGCACCTCTGCGTCTTCATCTGAATCACTTTCACTATCGCTCAAAAACATCGGGCCATTCTTGATGCACTTGGGGTCCCCTGTAAAGAAAGAGAATCGTGATTATCTTTGCAGTGCGGACAGGAGAACGTAAAGAATGAACAGACTGATTACAAGCGATCCTGACGCTTTTCGTCCGGAACAAGAAAAAATGACAGGGATGGAAATGCACCCCTCTCAGCTCATCAAGCTCCAAAGTTGCCCACTAAGGATTCATACACAGATCAATAAAATATCGAATGCCAGCCCTAGTATCAATAAATTTGTATCTGAAAGAAAAAATGCAATGTTCGTTCAATAACACCTTGCAATTAAGGAATCCGACCGTGACCTATCTATACAGCAAAGTTAGTGAAAGAATAAATATCGCTGTCGTTAATTACCGAAATTATTGTATTGTTGGCCAAACTTTTGTAGATTCCAGCCCTGTGGTAACATTTCCAAACCTTGAGGTGAATCTCCACATTCGTTCATCATAGTAAATCTGTCACTTGGTTCGTCCTTCGATCGTAGTCGCCTTTCACTAAACCAAAGAGACAGAAAACTATTAGGAACAAAACTTCGAGTACGAAAACTTCATGTCAATGAGCGGTGAAAAACTTCAAAATAATTGTGAGGGAAGTCGCCAATGTAACGAGGTTAACGTAGGAAAATCATATACTTGTCAACTTTCAGAGAAAATCTCTCCAAAATGGAGGCCATTCGAATTTCATCCCTAGTGGATCCCTTCTTTGGAAT